TTGAGGATTGTCTAGTAGGAGTTTTGAGGGACAGCTACGTTCCTAAAGTTGACTCTTTCACAAGTGCTGTTACAATGTTCACTTTGTATTTTTAAGTAGCTCATTGCTCAACATTGGGCAATTTTGTTTTTACACATTTCCTAAGGTTTGGGTGGGGGTATAATTTGCTATCTTGCCAATGGAAGTGACTCCTATAAATGATATGGAGTCCTAAGGTTATAAAATAGTCACAAAGCAAAATATTTTATGTTTTAAAATTTTCTTCTATTTTTAAAAATGAAGATGCCTTTCAGTAATGTCTTTTCCCCAAAACTTTTATTTGCAGAGGAGGGCCACACAACAATGGTAGAGGCTATTCCCAGCAATACTCAAAGATAATTATGTGCCAGGGTTCAAACTTAGGACTCCTGCATGCAAAGCATGAGCTCCAGTCCTTTGAGCTATTGCCCAAGTGATCCCCCTGCAAAAACAAAACTCACCTCATTTTAAATTAGATATTTTAACCCTTGGACTGGAGTGATAGCACAGTGGGTAGGGCGTTTGCCTTGCACATGGCTGACCCGGGTTCTATTCCTCAATCCCTCAGAGAGCCTGGCAAGCTACTGAGAGTATCTCGCCCACACAGCAGAGCCTGGCAAGCTCCCTGTGGCGTATTTGATATGCCAAAAACAGTAACAACAAGTCTCACAATGGAGATGTTACTGGATCATGCTCGAGCAAATCGATGAACAATGGGAGGACAGTGGATTTTAACCCTTGTTTTATCATAAATATCCTCATATGTCTTCAATTATTTCAAGATGGGCAATTTGCAAAGCCACATGCATATTAATTCATTACATGCATGTACTCTACGTTACTACATGCAGCACTCTCAGTTGTTTTAAAACAAAAAATTTACTCAACAGGAGAGATAGCACAGCGGGTAGGGCATTTGCCTTGCACACAGCCAACCCAGGTTCGATTCCCAGCATCCCATATGGTACCCTGAGCATCACCAGGAATGATTTCTGAGTGCAGAGCCAGGAGTAACCCCTGTGCATCGCCAGGTGTGACCCAAAAAGCAAAAAAAGAAATTCAATCAACAAACATTTATTGGGCATATATTTAATGGGCACTATACTACAGAATAGAGAGAAACAAGGAAAACAACTCAGCCCTCCAAAAAATTCAGTTGAGCAGGAAAAGCAGACATTAGTAGTAACTGGGATATGATGTCACAAGTGCACAAATGTGGCTAGATACAAAATGCTCTGGGAGCACAAAGACAGAGTTGGCCTTAAAGTAGGAGTTGGCGGTAAGAGGAGATGAATTCCAGGAAGAGGTGTAGAGGCACGAAGGGGACTCTGAGCTTTGAGCTTTGGCACTGGAGATGGCTAAAAGTGAGCATGCGGATAAGGGGGGGAGTGTCAAGAGATAAGGCTGGAAAGATAAGCAGGAGGCAGATGGTGAAATATCTTCTACACCAAATTTGGGTGTTTAGACTTGATTCTGGATGTCAATGTTTCTCCAAATGTGGTGTCCAGCAGTAGGAACAGCTTCACCTGCAAACTCATTAGAACTGCAAAGTCCTGGGTCTCGCCCTTGATCTAGTGAATCTAACCAAGATCTGTGGTTAGAGCTCGTCCATCTGTGTCTTCCAAACCCTTTGGAAGATTCAGATTGGATCTAGCTACACTGAAAACCACTGCTGCAGGCAAAGAGAAACCTGTGAAGGGTTTTGAGCAGGAAACTGAAGAAGGAAACAGGCAGCTATGACCAATCTCCAGTCTCCGGGGTAATTACAGTAAATGAAAAAAAAAAGACACCTTGATGAATGGATGTGGCATAAAGAGATGATGAAGACATAGACTAAGACAACAGGAATGAAAGGAAACAGATTTTAGAGATGTTTTACGGGTGGCCCAAATCCAATCAGGTGAGTAGGATCTAGTCATACAGAAAGCAGGACTGTAATGGTTGTGATTTAGAAAAGAAAGCTATAGTCCAGTTGAATGGATCAACTGACATGTGCCCCAAGAAAAATGTGGTGCACACAGATGCTAAAAAACAGGAATGTCACAAGCAACATCTGTATTCCCAGAGTGTCAAGAGCAAAGGGTGTCCTGGGTGGTCTATAAGCCTGCTGGGCTGGCTGACTGCTCTATTTCTCACAGCACGTCCACTGGCACTCACAGGAATAGAGAAACCATCTGTGAGTTTGGTTCCCACAAATTGATCTCAGACAGGAATCTTTTCGGGAGGGTCTAGCAAAATTCACATTTCAAATCTCCAAAGCCAAACAAAACCATAGTCTCTGGTGATCTAACCAAGATACTGCCAAGGTGAGACCCTGTCTAAAGCCTTCTTTGTATTCTATCTCATCTACATTACAGATCACACGACCACTGAATTAAAGAAGCAGCTGGTATGAGTGAAAGAATCAGACTTTATACTATGCCTCCAAGGTCAAGAAAGTCAGGTGGAACTGTTCTTTCTAATTTGGGAGGCCGGATTCAGCTGAGGCAATCTTTAATTTCCTAATGGGGGGTACAGGTTAACATATTCAGCTAGTGTGGATTTTGCAGAGCGCCATTCCTTTCTGTTTAAGGTGTGGGGGAGTAGGGAAGTAACTACACCCATGTGTTTGAGGGAAAATACAGGGCTGGGAACAAACCCGGATCTTCTACATGGCAAAGCATGCATTCCATCCCCTTGAGCCATCTCCTCAGCCCTCAATTACTATTTATTTGTATTAGAACCCTGGATGCTTCTCACTTACTGAATGCTCTTTCCAATGATGCCAATATCTCACTTTGTTTAACCAACTGATTTTGTTCAAGAACAATTCCCTGTCAAACACTTCACTCATCTTGGGGCTTGAGAGATAGTTTAGATGTTGGCTTGGACGTAGTCAACCCTGATTCAATCCCGAGCACCACACATGGGCACTGGACATTCCCAGGACTTATCCCTGAGCCCAAAGCCAGGGGAAAGCCCTGAGCACTACCAGGTGTGGCTCAAAAACTAAGTAAAAAAATTGTACTAATTTTTGAAATTTGAGATCTATAAGGAACTCTAGAGATTAAAACAAGACTTACTTATTACTTATTACAGATGAAGAGACAGAGGGCCTCAAAAAGCAATTCACTAAATTTGTTATAGAGAAAAATTCTTCAAAATGCAAAATAGGTGCAAAGCAGAGCCAACAATGAGAATACCGTGCCTTTGCTAACTTTCAAACAAGCCTTAAAAGTCCCCTCTTTTTCATCTTCAAACTTTTTTTTTTAAAAAAAAGGGAACAAATTGCTTATCAGGTTATTAGAAGAGGAGGAAGCTGTTCTTGTAGTTTCTTGGTCTTGTTTTTTGAAACTGGAGTTAAATGTAAATGCTCCATAAAGAATTTTTTAAAAATTTTTGAATAGGAACTGTGCATGAACAATGTAAGGATAAGAAATCATTACTATATAATCTATTGATTATATTTACTACCTTGCCTATAAAGGGGCAATTATATCGAATAATGTCCATTATGTTGAATTCTATAGTAGATGTAAAAGGAATCTACTACAAATTATCCCTCAGAGATTTGGAAAGCTCCACATTTTCAAATGTCCTGATACTTAAGTAAACCTCTTACTCTGAAAGTTCTGGAAATGCTGTTAAAAACGAGTTTCATCTCACATCCTGTTTGGCTATGGAGACGTTAACAACTCGAAAGGCACCTTTGGCCCCATTTCGTGTTTCCCAAACTTTGGCTCTGGATTATACCCAATATATGTCTAATCTGAAAGTTGGTGTCTGCACCCTCCTCAATTTGTCTGAGTGCACGGTTTTTACAGGCGGAGGGGTCTCCCAGCAAAACTCTCATCATGAAGAATCTATTCAATCCCATGTGTGCCCTGTCTGAAAATAAGGACTGTTCCACTTCTGTCTGGAACTCACATTATGAAGGCAGTGCATTCTGCAAGCACAGAACTGCTTTAAAAGGCGAGAGCCAAAGAGCCCAATGTTCAGTTTGTGTCCTCCTCTTTCCCTCAAAGGTTAAAAAAAAAAAACCCGGGTCTCTTTCGTTTCACATTTTGCCCTCTCGCTCCCCGACGTGAAGTCTCTCCGAGTGGACTGGGGCGGAAACGCGCCTTCGGTCGGGAAAGGACAGACGGCAGGTAACTTGACCGAGAAGGGAAACCACATCACATCGATTACGTGCTGGAGAGGGAGTCTAAATCGGACTGTCCAGAGTTCAGCTCCACCTGACTGGGGCCCGGCCTCTTCCAGCCCTCGTCCCCAGTCCCGGCCGGCTCCATGTGAAACCGGTCATGTGAGCCTGTTTACAGCCGAGCAGCAGGTGCAACCATTAGGCTCCGCACGGACACGGAGGTCCAGGAAGGGGGAAGCATACAGGCCACTTAACCCCTACCCCACCCCTATTATTCCAAGAAGGCCGTCCCCCTCCCTCCTTGCCTTTCCGCCCCACTTTCATCCCCCACCCCACCCCAGCCTTCCCGGGGCGCCGCGCCTGCAGGTGCGCGGGTTTCCTTCCAGCGACTCGTTGGGGGGAACCGGCCGGGCTGGAGGAAGGGCGAGGACCGTGTCCATCTCCCCCCCACCCCACCCCACCCTCAGCAACATCCGCCAGAGTTTGTCCCAGGAGTCGCATCCCCGGGGCAACCTAACTCTGCCGGGCAGCCGCCGGGAGGATCCCAAACCTGCCGCCTCCGCCCGGGCGGGAGCACCAGGCACCAAAGGGGGGCCAGCCGGAGCCTGGGATCGGGAACCACGGGCTACGGGACAACTGACAGTCGGAGATTCGGAGCAGAAAGGACTCGGGCTCTGCCTGTTCCCCGCCTCCCACCCGCATCCTGGCGCCCCGGCGCCCCGGCGCCCAGCTGTCAGTCATGCAAGGCAAGCTCTTGGGGCAGGGTGCGGCTCATTCTTTCCGCGGGGTCTCTCGGCCACGTAACTTCCACGTTTCCCCGAAGTCGGAGGAAGTGGGTGACAGGACGGTGGGGGACTCTCACCTCGGCAACACCGGCTCCTCGGAAAGCAGCTGCGACTGCTCCTCCGGTCCTTTGTCAGCGTCTCTAAGCTGCACTGCCTGCTGGGATACCGGAGGACTCAAATGCCACCTCTCTCCGCCCTCGAGGATGAGCTGCGGCTGGGGGGTGGGTGGGAAGACGGGGAGAAGGTGGAGCCGGGGGCGGGGCCAGAGCCGGGGGCGGGCCAACCCCGCAACCACCTGGCCTTGGGAGTTTCTGCCTTCCACGCCGAGCTGCAAACTTCCTTATCCGACTCGGATCTACTCTATTGCAGTCAGGCTGGGCCTGGAAGAGAGACTTGCAGAGAGACCTCTCTCGGTGCACGTGTTCAGCTGCCACCCTTGACTCCTGTCTCATTTCCGTATGCAACACTCACACACATCCCCTGGGTCCCCTTGGCCAGTTGAGCCCTACAAGTCTTATTGACCTCCTCTTTCTCCACCGCATTCCCCATGCTACAGACTCTGTTTAGGCTCCAGGACTTTTTATTCTCCGGTGAACCCCTGGCTGGACTCTCTCCAGCTAGTCTGCCCCTTTGGCTATCCCTAAGCCATCACCCAGACAGTAATCAGAGGCATTGAACTAAGATGTGAGGTGCTCTTCTGAAAACATTTCAATTAGGAATCCCTATACCTCCTGAGCATGGTATATATAGGCTCCTTTACATACCATGTTGTGCACCCAATACTCTATCCCAGTAAACTGCTCTTCCGGGGATACCTGGCACAACTCAACCAGCACCAACTGCCCCAAATATTTCTCCCTGGAAGGATGCCATACTGCCAGTTATTTCACAGGCCTCTTGGAAGATCATTAAAGACAGAATGTTCAAGATTAATGTTTAAGCACAGTGTTTAGAGACAGTTCCATAGCCAGATATATCGTGAGTCAGATATTAGATTAAGCCTAACCTGATGTTGGACTTACTGTATTTTTCCCCTTCAATAGAGTAACTCACTAGTGTTTACTTCTTTGTTTCTGTAACATAGATCCTCAACAACAATGATAAAACTTGAGCAAAAAAAGAGATTAAACGATGATCGGGGCAGGAGTGATAGTACAAGACAAGGTAGGGTGCTTGACTTGCACTCAGCTCACCTGAATTCATCCCTGGCATCCCATATGGTTTCCTGAGCCCACCAGGAGTAATTCCTGAGCACCACCAGATGAGACCCAAACCCAAAAATCAAAAAACAAAACAAAACAAAATGGATGTTCAGAAATGCACAGCAGCCTCAAGTTGCCTCCCCTTAAGCATAAGAACTGAAAAATTCTCTTCAGTTGTCCTGCCCAGGCAATGGATTGCCAGTACATCTTCCCTGGGCTCAGGCTTCTGGTGCCTTTACTCAGATTCCCTCATGGCCTTCTCTCTTTGGCATATCTACTTGTCTTTCCAGGCCTAGTGCAAATGCCAGTTCCTCTGATAAACTTTCCAGCATCTTCCTTGAGAACTTATGAATTCCTGCTCATAACAACATGGCAGGTTGTTATTCTTATTTTTTTGTAATTCTTCCTGGTTGGTCATGCATAGGTTGTCTGTCTCGCCTGTCTAGACTAAAATTTCCTAAAATTGACCCATCATACAATGTCTGGTGTAGAACTAACATCAGTAAAGCTGGGTGAAATGAAATCTTTGCTTTCCACTCAGATTCATGAAAAGCTCTAAATAGGCCCAAAAAGGATCCTAAGCACACTCTGTTCAACAACTAGCCTCCCTTCACGAGGACATCATCTTGATCCAGTCACATGTCATTTTGCAAACGCAAACTGATTAGGCAGCAGAGTGTTGCAAAAGGACCAAAGCATGTACTTCCCTTGCAGGTCAGACTGGTTTGTGGTATTATATGTGGTTGTGGAAAATGTAACTAGTGTAATTCACATAAGAATCCAGCATAAACAAACTTCATGGCACCATGGAATTTGCAAATGCAGACATATCTCCCACCTTTGGGAAGCTATATCCCCCTAAATGCTGCAGCCTAACTTTGGGCTCCACATTCCTTCAGACCTTGTATATTGTGTTGTTCTAAGGAATTCTCTTGGAAGAGTGGAATTCTCTTGCTTTGTGTTGTTTTTGTTTCTTAAATGCATATTTACTTTCTCTTCCATCATATTACAAGCTACACTCTTATTGGGAATTTCCCCTCCCTAAAATAGAAACAAGAATCCTTGGTCAATCTAGTTTACTAGGCTGTTTTTTTAGGTCTATGGAAAGACACACATATGTACATATATATGTGTGTGTGTGTGTGTGTGTGTGTATGTGTGTGTGTGCGTGTATGTACGTATATAGTATATAATGTATGTGATACATAGGATATTTATGCATACCACTTTGTAAATGTAAGGTCATTTTATTTTTTTTCTTTCTTTTTATTTATTTCTAATACCCATCCCTCCACCAGTGCCCATTTCCCACCACCACGGATCCCAGTATCCCTCCCACCCCCCAGTGTAAGATCATTTTAAATAATAGTTTTGTTCTATTTATGAATTTGGGAGCCACACAGGTGGTGCTTAGTGTCTCTTCTAGGTTCTGTGCTCAGGGATCACTTCTGGTCGTTCTCAGCAGGGGTGGGCGGGGGAACCATTTGAAGTGCCAGGGATCCAACTGAATTTGACTGACTGTAAGTCAAGTACTGTATTCCCTTTGCGATCTCTCTGGCTCCATGTTTATCTGTCTGTTTGTTTTGTGGTGCCTGGGATTGCAACCAGGATCTCACACACACAAGTCAAGTGTTCTACTGTGAATCACATCCCTGGTCCTTACTATTATGTCTTTAAAACATCTTTATACACTCACTTCCCTTGTAAGGCCCCATTTTCGATTTTTGGTATTACCCCCCCCAACAAAACAAAACATATTTATACTACTTTTGTATATATGTTTGAAAGTCCACATTAAAAAATAAACAAAGTCTTTATTTATTTTGCTTTTGGGGCCACACCTAGGAAGCTACTCCCAGCTTCTTGCTCTGGGTCACTCCCAGCTGTACTTCTCAACCATGTGGTTCTGAGATCAAAACTGGGCCTGCTACCAGCAAAGTGTGTGCTCAAGCCCTTTAAGCTATCTCTCTGTCAAAGCCTAATTTGCAAATTATCGGTGATAATGCTTTTAATCATATTTTCCCAAAGTTGCCTGGGAACTTTGTCAAAGTTGACTCTCCTAGAGAAATCAGAGAGCTCAAAGGTTCAATCCCCAGCACCTCTTGGAAAGATCCAAAGCACCTAGTTGGGAGTAACCCCTAAGCCCTACTGGCTATGGCCCAAAAAAAGAATCTCCTAAGCACCTTGTCAAATACAAAATCCTAATTTGTTTTTATATAGGCTTTATCACTTAGTTATAATTGATTAAATGATAGGGCATTGGTAGCTAATTCAGTCTCCAGTCCCACTTCTTTACCAGTCAGGTGGGGTGGGACTAAAAGTTCCAACCCTCCAATCATATGGTTGCTGCCCTTGGCAACCAGCCCATCTCCAGGGACTTTCTAAAACTCTCCTCATTAACATAAACTCAGGTGTGGATGAAATGGATTAGGGTGATTATCAGAACATCTTTCTTTGCTCTTATCACTTAGGAAATTCCAAAGATTTTAGGAGCTTGGTGCCAAGAACTGGGAGGGATTAAGTGCAATTAAGTGTGACAGCAGGTGACTTTTTTCTTTCAGTGAAGCAAGATAGTTTTTAGTGAGCCTTATTTAGAAAGATTAAAGGGAGAGAAAGAGAGGAGTACATTCTTGAGAGAGAAGACAAGAGACAACATGGGCTTCTACAGGGGAGAAATAGGCAAGCAAAAGAAACATAGATGAGCAAGCGAAATACGTGTCCAGTGGAGAACACGCACGGGCTTGAAGCCAACACCAGGAGACTCTTATCCTCAGGCAAGTCTGGGAGTCGGTGCTATTTGTTATTCACAAATCAGAATGAATGAGTTTGGAAATCTTCCTGGGGAAGAACTTTCACGGGTAGTTAGTGGCCTGACCAGGTGTGCTCAAAAGTGACTCTTGATGTTAGTGCTCATGGGGTATCTGGGCTCGAAACCGGGTTAGCTGTAAGTAACACAAGACCTTAACCCTGGTACTATCTCTGCTCCCTGAGAAGGACTTTCAGAAGAGGAGAAATGAAAAATCAGAGCAGAATTTGAAAGGAAGCTCCAGTAAGGCACAGGAACTTCAATGGGCATTAGCTTGATACCTGCATCCAGATCTGGATGACGTTTGGTTGACCATGATGAACCACATATATTAAGGTGGCTGTTGCCAGTGGCTTGGTAAAGTGAAAAACAAGGGAGGTAGACTTGAGAAAAGAGAGCTTCCACTCTTTGCTCAACCCACCGCAGCCACCCACGCTCAGGGAAATGCTTGGCTTAGGTCAGAACTGGTAACGTCTGCTAGGAACACCTACACAGCACGGATGCTTACGTCTCACCAGTCCCATGAGGCAGCTATGAAGCTGTGCCTAAAGTCTCCTTGTTCTGTACCGCGTGGGAGATGGTGGCTGCCGTTACCATGAAAATGGATTTTCCTGATCAGAAGGGTTCTTAAGAAATGTAGGAAATATTTACATATAAAACTCAGACGGTTGGGGCTGGAGTGATAGCACAGCGGGTAGGGTGTTTGCCTAGCACACGGTCAACCCAGGTTGAATTCCCAGCATCCCATATGGTCCCTTGAGCACCCCCAAGAATAATTCCTGAGTGTATGAGCCAGGAGTAACCCCTCTGCATCACCGGGTGTGACCCCCCCCCCAAAAATTCAGAAGGTTAAGCAGTTTATTGTACAGTTAAATACATGGGTTTGGGTTCCTTCCCATGTCCAGGACTCTCCTTTCACCCATGTGCAATGTCACTCATCCTGCCTCACTATGCCTTGCATGACTTCTTATGTGTCCTGTCCCCTGCTTTCTGCTTGACTCCGGTGGATGATGGCCTGGTCTTGTTCTGACACTTTTCTCTAGCCAGTGTGTGCTTTCCTAGTCTGAAATCTTGTTGCTGAGCCTCTCTGACTGCACCTCAGCAGTACCCTGTCATCCTCTTTTATTTATTTATTTATTTATTTATTTATTGCTTTTTTTTGGGGGGGGGTCACACCTTGTGATGC